AAATCTATGAAAAATGATCGACAAAAATGGATCGATGGAAATTCGGGGATGGATTTGTTTTTTGTGACTTTAGATCGTGTTGTTTGGGGTGCTCTTTGAGACATCAAAGGGGGGCAGCTTGAAACAGTACATGGAGGATCATAGGGAATGATTCAAATCATACATCGTGTGATACATAAATATATAGTGGGTGTAGCCTCTGGTAATTTAACATAGCTATAGAAAATCACCATGTTCAATGGGAAAATCAACTATAAATGGCCATTTTCAATAGCTATGTTAGTTTATAGTGGGTGTAGCGAGCTGACTTCCTTGTGTATGGGAACGGTACGGGCTCAGAATCGAGAAGTTGCGAAGGGGCGAACGGAAGAACCAGGGAACAACTGACCTTACAGCACTGCTGTGGTTGAAGGGTTTGGGCCAGTCTTGGCCTGCATGTCATGTGAAGAACTGAATGCAGGACAGGACATTGATGATAATGATGTTTCATTCTACATCCTGACTATTGTATAATCTACTGATATTGTATATATATATATACACACTATTGTCTCAAGGTTTGATGGCTTAAACCCACAGCTCGTTCTAAAATCGGTATGGCGCTGTGTGAGGCATCTTGTCAATGGCGATATCGTCACTCAGGCTGGGGAGTAGATGAATTCAGATGAATTCTGCAGCGACAGATTCAGGGCTTCAGCAATGGCCATTTCAGGAACCTAAAATGGAGGTACCTACCATATATAAGGCCTATATAAGGCCCATGTAAGGGAATATCCCTAGAAAATATGCCCTTCTATGGTACAGTACCTCCATTTTAGGATCCTGAAATTCCCATTGATTCCATGGTTTTCCGGCTACCCTCTGGTTATTTAACATAGCCATGGGAAATGGATGGAAATGGCCCATTTGTAGATGCCTTACCTCTTAATAGCATTGTGATTTTCCATGGCGAACTGTTAGTCATAACCAGATGCTATTTTTGTTTACTTGGGAAAACATCAACACATCTCTGTCGGTCCACAGATATCACTGGGAAGAAACGGCAATTTCTGAGGTGGGACACTCCAAGAAGGTCCGAGGCTACATGGTGATGCCGGTGAAGATCGACTCAGTTTCTCGTAATGAAATCCGAAAAGGTAAGTGCTTCGGTTGGTGGTTATGGTGATTTGACATATATTGCCAATACATGTTTCTGGTTGGTGGTTTGGAATCATGGAATTTTATGACTTTCCATATATTGGGAATGGAATAATCATCCCAAATGACTCATACTTTCAGAGGGGTGGGTCAACCACCAACCAGGTTTTTTTAGAATATGGTACAAATGCTGTATCCAGAAGATTGCTATACAGTGTTTTCCTTTTACATCAAGCCGAGACATCGTAAGTTTATCACCGTTTATAACAGAGCCTTTTATAACAATGTGATAAATTGAAAAATCAATTTCATCACATCAGGTTTTTTTTATCACCGTTTATAACAATGTGACCTTTTATAAAACCTGATGAAATTGACGTGGCCGAGGATGAAGGATGGGTTGTTCGCCGGCTGGTCGACAGAAGCCGTGATCACCCCGCTGGGCAGCCAAGAGGGGGGCAGCCAAGATCAGCCAAGCTGATATTATCACAGTCTATCACTGGTTGGTGGTTTGGAATGGTTTGGAACCATGGAATTTTTGATGTTTCCATTACAGTAATATTGGGAATGTCAGGTGAACAACTGACTTTCATAGTTTTCAAGATGGTTGAAACCACCAACCAGTCACAGTTGATCTTGTTGAAGCTACTGGTAAGAGAAATATATAGGTATCACCGAATACGCTGCAGGACCCGTGCTTGTGTTTTTTCTCACATGCGGAGTCGTACTGTCAAGTCTTCCGACTTGGACCTCCCTAAACTATTCGCTGGAAAACTTGCCCTGGTTTGAGAAAAATGACATCTCATCAAATTCAAAGTTCAAATCCTTGAGATAGTTACATTAATATCCGGAAAGCACGTTGAATTGAAAGAATGCGACTACAGCCATTTGATACAACATAAGAATTATTACCCTCTGGTTATTTAACATAGCCATGGACAATCACCAGTTTTAATAGGTAAACCCAGGTAAACCATCTATTTCTATGGGCCATCTATACCATGGCTATGTTCGTCATAACCAGAGGGTATTTCTGATGTTTGAAATGAATTGAAGCCAAGGGAAATGGCAAGAAATGCGTATCACGTATGTGGGCGCCATTCACAGCTGATTTTCATCGACAATCCCACGGTGATCAGCGATCGACAGCTGGATTTTTTTAAAAAAAACGGGACGAAAACTGTAGTCTTAGTACCGTTTACTGGTTGGTGGTTTGGAACATTTTTTTTTGCCATTCAGTTGGGAATGGAATGTCATCATCCCAACTGACTTTCAGTCCATCATTTTTCAGAGGGGTAGGGTGAAAAACCACCAACCAGGATATTTGTAGCCATGGTTCCCAGAAACCGCCGAGCCGAAAAAAACGCAAGAACTCGGACAATTTTGGAACCCGGAAGCCCCATCCATAACTTACCCGGCCCGGTAAACATACAAAGTTAGCTCTTGAAAATGGCCCATAGTGGATTTTCCCATCAAAAATGGTGGATCTTTCCATAGTTTTTTGTATATTTACCAGAGGGTATCCATATCCAAACTTGGGTGAACATTTCAGCCAAGACATGAAAATACTGAAATGATCCATTATTATCCAAATCTGGTTGGTGGTTTGGAACCATGGAATTTTAGGACTTTCCATATATTGGGAATGGAATAATCATACCAACTGACGAAGTCCATCATTTTTCAGAGGGGTAGGTCAACCATTCATAATGGGTATGATAAAGAATTAATGGTATTATCCAATGATCCATCATGAAAAATCATAATGATCATTTCCAATGTTATCCCAATGACATTCAATGATCACATGAACATTATCCATATCATTAATGATCCATATCCAAATCTTCATGGGTCTGATAGTCTAACCACCAAGCCTTCCGGTCGTCGCCAGGCCTGGTTTGAAGAGATGATCAATGGCGAGCCACGCGAAAAGCGAAGGCTGCCTTGGCTGCGTTGCCTGAAGATTTTTGCTATGGAAAAAGCTGGTTAAAATGGATACTAGTAGCAAATGTGCCACAGTATGACATAGTAGTAATAGCTATAGTACCAGTAGTATAAAATGGATTATGAAATAAATCAACATGGCCCATTTACTACTATGTCATACTATGTCTATGTACTTCGATGGTTTGTGTGTTAACAATGGCAGTTTTCTATAGCAAAGTGTTAAATTACCAGAGAGGCTTTTGTTTGTTGTTTGCCCCAAAAAATGGATTACTTGATTTTTGTTTTAAAAAAATACTTGAAAGGACACAGTATGCAGGTTCACTTGATCCCAATTTTTTGACGGCAAATTATCATGAAACCGATTGGGATTTCTTGGCTTGACACTTGACAGTGAGAACACCACCGCCATGTGTTGGAACGCATCATTTGATGACATGAAAAGACATTTCGAATATATGAAGGCAATGCGAGCATTGCTTTTTTGGTCTCAAAATGTGTCAAGGGAAACCTTTCCCAGAGGATTTCTCATAGGATTTTTGTTGTGGTCAACCCAATAAGCCATCCGATATCAGTCATCACCATCCCCAGCGGCGCTCGTAAGCGCGCTGAGGCACCGTAAGAGCGACAGCAAGGAGCCTGCCTCGTTTCAGGGGTTATGAAGTCATGGAGGATCCCAAAAAACACCATGGGTGAAGCTAAGACAACTAAGACAACTAAGTCATGGCCATCACTGGATGAGAACTGGGGCCCTGGGGCTAGACCTGACTGGGCCGACCTGAGTCAACGGAAAGCTCCATATGTTTCCATTCCTGTCACCAGCTGTTGATCGGATCCCATTTAAAAATTTCGCCAATCGCCAATCCAAGAGCCAACACGCTACTACCGATGTTTTTTTGGACCTCCCCGACTTGGGGGATGGTGAAAATTTCTCAAATTCAAAGCCCAAGTCAATGTCAATAATGTCAATGTCAATTGGATTCAATTGCTATCATGTGGTATAATTCATGCTTACATATGCTTACTAGTAGACTGATTAAACCAATCCAGTTGAGATCCCCAGCCAGGAGCATGAAGACTGATACGGGCCGCTGACCGCTGACCGCTGTGAAGTTGCTGATATCTCGGTTGTTCAATGGGGAATCTCGATGAGATGATTAGATGCCTGATTCAAATATGAAAAATCCATGAAGAACTATGGAAACTTCCGAATTCTTAGTTCTTTTTGGATTCTTTTAGGCCTGTGAAACATAAAGTAAAATTGTAACATCATCTTAAAATTCGGGATGTTCCATATAGTTAGTTGTTTAGCCGAGAAAACATCCAACGTTTGCACATACAGATTGAAAAGAATATTATTTACAGTTGTAATGTTAATTTTCCCGGGAGAAGACAAATGAAATCAAATGAACATACATTTTGGTAGGCCAAGTATGTCATGGTTCTCCTCTTGACCGCCCGATTTTGTCGTTGAGCAAACACCGTCACACCGTCGTCATAGAACATGGCGCGGATGGCGACGACGTGGTCTTTCGGCAGCGTAAACGTGGCGTTTGTGACGTGAACGGGCAGCTGAGGCACCAGTTGTAGCGGCTCTGAGAGACAAAAAGTCTTGCTTCCTTCATAAAATGTCGTAAATGGTTGTAGCATGTTTTTTTTCGCAGTTACTGGATTGCCACTATTCTCGGGTTCCCACATGTTGATTTAGGATTTACATCAAACAGATCCGGGACGCGATCCTTGGCGCAGCCGGTTGGATCAAAGATGCATCTGATGCGCTGGACTCTGATGGTTTGGATCAAAATGGGCAACTGGAAGTTTTTTGGGGCCTGATGATATCCCATGATTTGGATCATGATAAATCCCATGGTTGGATCCATGGTGAAACCTCCCCATGTCCACTAGTGTCCACTAGTTTCGAGCGGGCCGAAGCCCGGTGCCAAAAAGGAGAACTGCCATGTGCAATGGGCACCTGGCTCGGGAAGAAACTACGACTTGCACTGGCGCTGATCATCTGGTTCCCTGAGAATTTCCTGGGACCCAGCTGGCCAGTGGGAGGCAGCCGCGCGGGAGACTTCAGAATCTCAGATCTGGATGAAAACTGGAGGAAAAGAACTGTGGATCTGAGGGATGTTGCTGGAAATCCACGAATTTCAAGTCGTTTTCATGGTGTTCACCGCAGTTTGGAATGGATCCCATGGATTTGGGCCGTGATCTCTGGCTTTGGAGCGCAAGCTGCATGGGCCGCAACTGGTGAAACTGAGTCAGGCAGTTGGCTGTGGATCGTGGTATCCTTCCTGGCAGGGGGTCTCTGTGTAAGTGTCAGATACAGCGTTACGGGATCCAATGGATCAAGGGATGCTCCCAAACCACTGCTGAACACCATGCTGCAACAAACTCATGGTGCAGCCGTTCTCTATGCCATCACCGCTGCTGGCTTCATGGATGTCATGCCCCTGCCATCCGAAGAGCCCCTGACGGCAGCCGAGCTGTTGCGACGGAACAGGCAGAGTGGAACGAAGGGCAAAGAGGCAGTGCTGCAACAGCTGCTTCATCTGCTGGCGACCTGCGAGATTTTGGAAGAACGGGAGGACCGGCATTCGGCATGGGCCGGTGGGGGTGTGAAGTTAGATGTGCGATGGAATCCACACCGGAGAGATGAAGGCTAGAATTGGATGGAATTGCAAAATTGCAATTGTTCAGTTAGAATATTGCACTATGAACCAAGTGTTGGATTTTCTGCGTATTTGTTTAACGTAGGGGGTGTGAAGGTCCTCTGTAGCCAAGCTAAGAGACCATCTGTAAGTCGTGCTCGAGGGCACTGTACCTGATTGTACCTGAGGCTCTTTTTTGCTTGTATCATTTCGCCGCAACCTTTTTGAAGTGCCTAGTCTCAACACGAATGGCAGCCTTATGCAGCGTTCATGTCAGAACATAGCGCTTGATCAACTGCGAATTGAGTGGAGATTTGGCCCCCCTTGTCGGATGCGTATCTGGACTGGTTGGTGGTTTGGAACCATGAATTTTATGACTTTCCATATTAGAATAATCATCCCAACTGACTTTCATATTTTTCAGAGGGGTAGGTATACCACCAACCAGTGGATGATGAACTTGTTTATGGATGTCGTTGTTTTGGGCTCCGTCGGTTTTTCGCATTTTTTCCGCCACTGCCCAATCTATGGGTATAATAATATGGGTTAAAGTCATGATCACATCGAGCCATGGATCGTTTTTTTACCCAACCGTGGATGTCTTGAATCCAGAAGGTTTGCATTGATACGTCCAATCCTGGGTGGTTGTAGTCCAATAGGGGATGGTTATGATGGTTGCCAGATGCTGTTTAATATATTGTATGTGTATTAATATGTGTTGTGAAATGGCGTACGAACCCAAAATAATTACCCTAACTGCCCTAACTGCATGGTTTTGATACCCCCAACTATGAGTGGGTGCTTTTTTGCAACAGGTGTCAACCCTCCCCAAAAAAATCAAGTTATTCCCTTAAAACTGTTGCTAAAGAACTCCCCCAAATGGTAAACATGGTGATCTAGTTTTATTAGTAAGGGGTATTTAATATTAGGGTGCGATTCTTCCCCCTGATATTAAATTAAAAGCCTTATTATTAAATAAATATAATGTTATATATATAATGTTCTATTTCAAAATCGATTAAAATCCTTTTTGAAATTTAGTTAAAAGCAGAGAGTGGGAGGGATCGGGAGCCAGGAGATGTGACCCAAATAAAAAAACACCAGGTGTGATAGGGGGTAAAAACCGCTATTTCGCCATCCTGTTCTCCTATTGATTCTCAATTACCACAATTTAAGAACGCAGTTGTAAGCAACCAAAAAAAAACGAAAGTGCCAATCCACTCCTATTTTTATCAATTGGGGGAGATTTTTTTTCAGGAGAAGAGATCATCTATGATCCCACCCTAAAGAGAAATGGAGATATTTCTCGCCCCATGGAATTTCCAACCTTCACCTGGACCACCCCTGGACCCCTGGACCCCTCAACCCCTCAGGAGCCGGGCTGCGCTTGCTGCGCTTCCGCCACAGCCAGTGCTCCATGGAGCTGCGACGCGGTGGCCGCGGCCGGAGCTTTGTGATGCTGAACTTCTCGGCGGAGCAGGTGAGACCCTGGTGGAGGATTTTGGAGGCCCTGCGGTTCTTCGGCAGAGGAATGGCTGATTGGTGGTCTGGAACCATGGAATTTGTTGATTGTCCATATATTGGGAATATAATAATAATATCCCAACTGACGAAGTCAGATTCTTCAGAGGGGTAGGTATACCTGAAACCACCAATCAGAATCAATCAGATGGGTTTTTCCGTGGAAAAATGGGGAAGGGGAGATGGAGATGATGCTGGAAATGATCCATTTGGATTATGATACAGTTGAATCGACCTAAAATAGTCATATATGGTTACCATTGGTTACCTATATGTATTATATATGATACATATGTATACATATGTATTATATACATAGTATCATATAATGTGTTAATATGCAATATACATATATATACATATATATATAGATGTATACAAAGAATGTAATTATATAAAAATTATCCAGAAATTATCCAACAACAATCTGCATAAACGTGAGACCACCCAGATTCCAAAGATCATCCGAAAATGAGGGAAAATGCCTCAATCATGGGTTATAGTAGTAGAGTAGGCATAGGAGACTGGTGGTTGGCCAGCTTCATGAATGCTTATTTCCAAAGTTGAGCAGCGCTCCACACACTAACTTGGAGCGTCCTCCAGTTTGGGGAACGGTCTGATGTTCTCCATTTGAAAGCCACCACTCAAGGAGAATGCTTTGTTCCATTGCAAAATCCAAAAAAAAAATCCACAGGAATCCATAGTCATAGTCCATCATAGGGCATGTTGTGAAATCTCAGTGTCTGTTCGGTTTTGCCCTTCACAATTACGCTTAAAAATTCCATCCCATCTCCAAGGCAAGAGGATGTCATGGAGCCGAATCCCTTCAGCTTGGAGCATGGCCGTGGAGTGTTCGAATTTTATTCGGATCCTTCCCACAGCGACTTGGCCAGTCACTTCAACCGCCTCATGCAGCAGCTCAGTATCTCCCAGAGCGATGCGGAAGGCAACAGCGCGGCATCCTTGGTGGCTGAGTTGGCCATTTGGGATGCAGCTCCAGCTGTTGATGTGGATCCTCTGGATCCTGTGGATCCTGTGGATCCCGTGGTGGTGGATGTGGGTGGTGGTGTGGGACACCAACTCTCCACCATCCTCGCTCGACATCCGAGATGGAAAGGAATCGTTTTCGATCTCCCGAAGGTGCTTGAAGATAGAGAAGCAGATGATTCCAGGATGTCATTCATGGCAGGGAGCTTTTTTGATGCGATTCCCAAGGGTGATGTGTTGCTGTTGAAATGGATTCTTCATGATTGGGATGATGTGCATTGTCGCCAGATCCTTGCAAAGCTGCGTGATGCAATGCTTTTCGAGAGCTTCTGGGTGCTTCAATTATGTCATGACGATTTACCCATGTATTTACCCTTTGGTAAACATACAAAAAGCTATTGAAAATGGCCATTGAAATAGTGAGTTTTCCCATTAATAGCATGGTGATTTTCCATAGCAAACTGTTAGTTTACCAATGATTTACCCAATTTTTCCCCTGATTGCGGTGATTCGTCATGAAGTCATGATTCACATCTAACTTTTTGGTGGGCGAAAACACTGTGTTTCCAAAGGCTCAGATGGTGTGCGGCGTTCACCTTCCAGATTGTTAATCATCGAACAAGCTGTACCAGAAGACGATGATTTCAGCGAGGCTGCTCAAAGTGCAAGAGCCAACTTGAACGATCTGTATTTATGGGTTCTCTACGGAGGCAGGGTTTGTTTTCAACCAGTGATGGTAACATTCACCGTGATTCACCATTGTTTGTTATTTGGTTTATGTATAATTATATATATATATACACAGCCATCATATGGTTAATATATGGTTAGTATATGTTTGTATATGTTCAATATATGGTTAGTATATGGTTAATATATGGTTAATAAGTGGACATCACAGACCTGAGATGATAACTTTTTTGTGCCCTTGGCCTTGAAGCATCGATTCACCACAGTGGTACCGTTGAGGCCGTGAACGAAAAGTCTCGGACTATGCAGCGCTGATTGAAGCCGAAGGGCTGCAGCTGGAAGCCGTGACTCAGCTCAGTGGCTTTCAACTGGTTGCCATCGAATGCCGCTGCCTTCCGGCCAGGCCGAGGAAAAAAGCGCTTGTGGAAAAAGAATTGCTGCCAAAGGGATACTCAACAGCAGTGGATGTACGGATGATCCATGGATTTTTGGTGATATATTTGATCTGTTCACTTCTTTGGGAATCTGGAAGCCATCACTTTGATTAATTAAATGCCAACATCAGATCCAGGGCATAGAAAACCTGAGAAATGATCGATCCAGCTGATTGAATCATTGGCAGAGCTTTCTGCTCCAACCTTCATGTGCACCTGGATTCTGAATATGTTTGAATCACCGCAGACGCGTGGCCCAAGCTGTTTCTATGGTGATCAAGTCTGTGATAATGGACACAATTTTGCAGGGGGCCAGCTTTGCTTCACAGCAGCCTTCTTCTGTCAAACTGCAAATGGAACATAGAAATTCATAGAAGCATAAAATTTCTCCAAAGGTGCTGGATGATCCCAACATCTCAAACATCATCAGACATAGCCAACATAGCCCACGCCTATCTTGGGACCAACTGGGGGTAGTTGCGTTGCGAACTCAAAAAAGTGCTCAGCTAAAACGCCCTTGGTGCCCAACTGGTTTTCCTTGGTGCCCAACTGGTGGGTCCTGGCCCATGGCTTTAGATCCAAAGAAGATCAGCAGCCACGAATTGGCGACCTGGCCCTGGCCCCATACAG